AGGATGAGGATGAGGCGGAGGCGGGAGGGAGGTAGGAAGGGGGTGGCGGTGGATGGTTGGAAGTAAGCAGGGGTGGGTAACGGGCCGGGGAGGACGGCAGAGGGCGGCAGAGGGCGGCGGAGGGTCGGCCAGGACTGGGAGGCGAAGTGTCGTCGTCCGAATAACGGCCAAGCGGCATCGACCGATCTTCCTACCCCTAGCTCGTACGAAGCGTCAACTTGTTTCCCTTCTGTTCCGCGAATATCGGACCTTCAATTTGCCCGGTGCGGTTCGCTTACGCGATGCACTGCCCTTTTACGCGTAATCCATACACGGTCCGTCAGTTGTCCCATCGATATCGTTTCCGTCCTACGTTCCCATTCCTAGTACCGTTCCCGTCCTCGTCCCTGTCCCCGGTCTTTGTTCGCCCGACTTAAAAAAAAAAAAAAAAAACGCAGAAAAAGGATAAAAATGTTACTCTCTCCCTTTCTCTCTCTCTCTCTCTCTTTTACTCCGGAAGAAACCGTCGCGAAGACGGATCGACACGATCGAGAGAAACGTCGACTTATACATGTTTGCAGATTTAGAGGGATAATCGATGGAAAGTTACGAGGACGACGACGACACCCACTTTTGCATCAAGTGCCATCTGACGATACACGGTCTGGAGAATTACGTGCGACATCGTCAATCCGGATGTCGACCACCGGACGACAAAAACGTAGCCGTGCGGGTATCACCGACGACGCCCGCTTCACCGACCACCGTCACCTATCCGGAAATACTGAACGCGGACGCATTCTTCAGTTCGTTGGAGCTGCAGAGCAGTTCCAAGTCGAATCCTCGAAAAACGACCGCTTTGCTGGAGGAGAGTAAGAAGTTTAAAAAGGAGGAGAAAAAGAAAAAGAGTCAGAAAGCGCAGGTGGACGCGGAAGAATCGACGGTAAAGGAGAAGCTTCACAATATGCTGCCAGGAGTCTCGGAACTCGACGATCCAACCGAGCATCTCTGCATGCCATCCCTCGTTGGCTTTCCCGATATCGTTTCCTCCGCGGCCAGTAAGCCTACGGTTACAAGCAGTCGGAACAAATTAAGCCAATCGATGACCAATGTCGCGACGAACATCGAGAGTAGCGGATTCTCGGTAAAACACGAGCCGGAAAATTCTTTGGAAAGTTTGATGACCTCTCACGTGGAATCCAAACAGACGGATCGAAAGAGGCAAGAGGAGTCGCAGAGGATCGAGCAAGTTCATCAAACGTGGCTCGAGGATACGATCCTGGCCGAATTAGTAGCGAACAACGAGAACAAGGATTTAACCAGATACGATTTCGAATATCAACAGGACGAGGATTCAGAGGACGATATATTGGAAGAAGATTTGGGGGAGGATGACTCTTACTCCGAGTCGGACGACGGGGAGGATAGGGAACGTCCACCGCGCGGTCACACCGGTGGCAAATGGAAGCCAGAATTGGACGATCTTCCTCAAAATATGTCTCAACTTCAGGACGACGATGTGGACCCGGAAGACGAACATCAAGAACATCCGCCGCCGACTTACACCGGGGGCAAGTGGCGACCTTCGGATACCTCGCAGGTACGTCAGTCGTCAGGAATTGTTTCATCGCGCAAAGTCGCGGCTATTTTTCCTTCTCCTCTCCCTCTCTCTCTCTCTCTCTCTCTCTCTCTCTAGCGTTTTCTCGCGTCTGTCTTTTAAACGAAAACTTACTCTTGGTTTGGCGTTTGGTAGAAGGCGGAGGAGTACGAGACCAAGAGCACCGATGGACAGCCACCGCCAGGACACACGCGAGGGAAATGGGTACCGGGCGCGCAAACGGATATCGAATCAGGATATTGGTGCAATCCTTGCGGCAGGAAACTTGCCTCTCGATTGGTCTACAACAGGCATCTTCTCTCTGATTTGCACGCTAGAAGGAGCATCCGAGAAATCGATGGCGTTCTTTGCCTACCGCGTACCGCGAGCTTGCACGTTGCGAGAAAGTCATCGCCTCGTAATCAAGTAACTATAATAACGCGCTAATTCTTATCTCCGATTCGTTCGTCGCGTGATCGATTCGTTTGATCGACAGAGAACCAGACAAGCATCGGAAACGAAGGGGGCGAAGAAGAGTTCGCGAAAGCGGGAAAAGGAAATAGTTTGCTGCGAGATGTGTCATGCACGAGTGAGAAGGGCACAAATGGGCAAGCATTTGCTCTCTCATTATCACTGCCGCGTGGCCGGTGTAAATCCTCGCGGGCCACGAGCGCGTCGCTTTTTACTGGAAAATATGGCGAATGTGGTTCGGCAGTGTCCTTTTCAGTGTTTCTCTTGTCGCTTTTATTGCAACACGGAGGAAACCTTTCTGCGTCATTGGCGATCCGATCTTCACGCGAAAACGCTCGAACAGGTATTTCTCGTTTATCGCGCATTTCGATTTACAGCTGCTATTCCTCGCCGTAGAGTATACGTGTGCTTGTACGCGTATTTAGTCGATTCTCGCTTCTAGATCGGCGGTGGCAGCTACAGATGTACCCCTTGCGACTATTGGTGCGAAGACGGGGAAACTATGCATTCTCACCTGCTCAGCTCGAGCCATCGCGACGTTGTTTCCGTGATGAATGGTTCGGTACCGATCATGGTCGGTCGTCAACGAGCTCTGCCTTGTGGCAGCTGTGATCGTCGATTCCGATATAATCTAGAGCTTCGCTTGCACATCAGGGAAACTGGTCACGAAGAGAGTTTGACCGCGACGGACGAGTATCAGCAGCGAATCAAATGCAATTCGTGCCCGCAAATAGTAAGATCGTTGGTGGCGCTTCAACGTCACCAGTTGTCCTGTCACAGCGTAAAGATCGAGAAGGACGAGACGAACGACTCGCCTCCGCCCGCTCCTTACTTTTGTTCCTTTTGCTCTATGAACTTTGCGACCGCTCGAGAAGCGGTTTTGCATCGCAGAACGTCCAGTCACAAAGAGACGGTAAAGGCACGGAAAAGCAAGGAGAACTCGTCGATAACCACGACTCGAGAGTGTCCCCATTGCGAGGAGAAGCAAGCGAATTTGTCGGAGCACAAGAAACATCTTCTCACCGATCATCCGGAGCTTTGTTACAGGTAGGAAGAAGAAGGAATCTCGATTCGATCGCTAACTAATGGATATCTTCCCTTCTCGCAGATGTCCGAAATGCGGCACGTTGTTTGCCCTTTCGCAAGACGTGACGAGACACACGAGAGAGAACAAGTGTCACGAGGATGACGAGTTAAACGCGACGAAAAGGACGGACGTGAAAGACGAATGGAAATGCGGGAATTGCAGCTTCTCGAGCAACTCCCAGGCCGAGTTTATCTTTCACGAGGCTCTTCACGCGGGGGTCGTGGCGCGAAGCGATAACGAGGACGCGAGTCGCGGCAAATCGTCGTTGGCCAAGTATCGTTGTCCCGTTTGCAAGAAGGCCTTCGCGAAAGTCTCGTTGCGGAATCACATAAGAAGTCACACCGGAGAACGGCCGTTTCCCTGTGCCAAGTGTCTCGTGCCCTTCTCGAGAAGATCGGACCTGAACGCCCATCAGAAGGAGTGCACGGGATCGACGTCGTCCGGCTGGTCAGACGAATCCGGACGGAAACGCAGCTTTGCCTGTTCCGAGTGCAACAACGCTTTCTACACCAAGTAAGTAGGATATTTATCGGTATTTATCCGGAATATTCCGGCAGGTTTCGAAGAAGCTGTCTCTGTCTGGACGAAAATTATCGGCCGATTAATAATCTTAAACGATCGTTCGAAAATGGCGCGTAAAAGTAATTGCTCGGGCACGTTCTTCGTGTACGAAAGCTCTCGATGGTTCGTATGACGTATAGCAAAGGTTGTATCGTGACAACAATGGGTTTAACGTAGAAAACTCGGCGCATTATCCGGCTAACAAAAGGATCGCATTTATCACGGGATTTCCAGTTAGGTACAATTATATTGCACCGATCTACGATCGGTAGGTCGTCGAACGAACCGTGACCGCGTTCGACGGGAACCGCTCGTGATACTCGGGTACCTTGGTACCTTTCACCGGGCTATTTATCTTTCCTCGCGAGTGTTACCTTTGCGAGTGCGTTAACATCGATGCGAGAGTAATATCGTAAATATTCCGGACTACGCCCCAAAAGTGGGCATCGCAAGTATCGCAGGCTGAACGGAAATACGGAAGGCCGTTAGCGACGAGACCGCGTAGATCCGCGTAGATCCTCGTAGATCGGCTCGCGATGGACGTCGCGGTACGCGTTCGCGTCTCGGAAACGCGAGGGACCACCACCGGTGCATCTTTGCACTGGTGCACTGGTGCACTGGTGCACCAGTGGCGAGCCGACTTGTCCCGAGTAACTGGCGCTGCGTGTTCGGGGATGAAAACTGTAAGACAATAAAATCCGGCTTCGCGCGCTGAAACCGCGAAACGTTCGCGGGTCTCGTAATAAAAGTGTCCTCGCTGCATAACTATAAAGTAAAAGACCGTGTCCGTGTGGAACACGGTAGCCGGACGAGGAGGGAGAGAGCGGCGAGTGTCCGAAGAAAGTACGGAGATGGAACGGAAAATTCTGGTGAGCGAGGGAACGTGGGAGCGGGAGGGCGCGAAGGGGGAGGAATGGGAGTAAACCGTGGAGCGAGAAGGAAGTGGTCTCGCTCTCTGCCACCGGTTCGTATTAACATCTCATAGTGGCCTGTAAGCCCACGGGTCATTCTAGCATTTAATGGGCTTGCATTATGGTCCGTGCAAGTATGCGCGGACCACCGTTCACCAGTACTAACCTACGTAACTAGAAACTTGTGCTCGCTAATGCTTCGTTACACTAGCGAAATTACTAGCGCGGATTAACGCCCCGTGGGTCCTATTAAAAATGCGATCGAATCCAATCGCGCTAACGTCGATTTACGTCGTGGAAAAGTCGCGCGACTCGCGATCGCGAACGGGAAGGGAACGGTGGCGAGTGGACGCGACGACGAATCGTCGGACGCGCCGCGGGTCCATCGGATCCTCGAGATACGGCTATCGTACGCGTGCAAGAATAGCGGCGCGTACCATATGAATACGGTCTCGAGGAAAGTTGGCGTTGGTGGGTGCCCGCGAGAGACTAGGCGCCTGGGCCACGGGGACGTTTCTCTCGCGTGTCGACCGTGTGTGTGTGTGTGTGTGTGTGTGTGTGTGTGTGTACGTCGACCCGGGTATTAAACCATTGCCCGAGCGTAGAGCGATCGCTATAAAGCAAATGTTAACACGTATGCTCGCTCGTTTGCCCGGCTCGATTTCCTCGTCCCTTTTTCGCTCCCTCCTCGATCGTTGTTCCTTCCACTCGATCCTCGCGGCGATCTTGCTACTCGTGCTATCCCGTCTCGTGTACACGCGTTACCTTCTTTAACCTAGCCGTGTCTTCGTGCCGAATGGTCAGGTCGGTCGGTCGGTCGGTCGATCGGTCGATCGGTCGGAAGAGTCCGGCGCCCATGGCCCCCGATACGACGAGGGTTTCGCTTAATGTCACGATTCCGGCCATTTCCAGGTATTAGGCTTCGCTATCGTCGTTTCTCTGCCCTTCTCGGGACGATCTTTTCCGCGATCCACGGATAGCAACGTATCGATACAGACGCTCGATCGAGTTTTCGCAGGCGTTGGAAAAAGCCCGGTGGACGGACGCGTTCGTAGGACAGATTAACCGACTCGGCCGGATTTCCTCGTAAATTCCATCCATCTATCGTCAAAGTTTCCCGTAAACGTGTCATTTTACCTCGATCATCGTCCTCGTCCACCGTCCTCGTCGAGACACCGAACCGGCGTACCTGGAACTGCGCATCATCTCTCGACCGCAGGTAGTTAAAACTTCCGGCGGGCCACTTTGATTAGCACTTTCTCCGACTTCATTTTCGTCGAAAATGAAGGCCAAAGCGGAGCGTCGCGAATGCGTCAGTTGTCGACAATGTCGAGTCCAAACTCTGGCCCGTTCCTCCGAGCGAGCGGAGAGACAATTTAGCAAGAAGCGTTCTACGAAGTTCGTAGATTCTCCGGATGCAACAAACTATTATCATCGATTATACTAACCTAGCTGCAGATACGTTTCGCACGTTTCGTACGTTTCGTTCGGTCTCAATTTCCAAAGTTCGTCGTTCGTTTGCCCGGCCGGTCGAGGTGTGTTTCGTTCGCGACCTTTTCAGGGCTCGAAAATTCTAGCTCCAGCTCGAAATGTTGGCCCAATTTTGCGATTTTCTTTGCAAAGTATAGAACGTCCGAGGAGATGGCACGTCTTTTTGCGGCGTTGGAGAATTTCTGGAATACGACGTCACTTTCCAAGAATTTCTGGGACCGAAAACTCGATCTTGATCCGAGCTTGCGATTTTGTATCGCAAAATTTTCCCACTCCCAGCGATCGTGAAAGAAGAAAGGGAAAAGATGGAGGAAAGATGGAATGCAAGAAAGAGTAGATGAAAGATGAAAGGGAGAACGGATGGACGGTCGGAAGGAAGGAAGGAAGGAAGGAAGGAAGGAAGGAAGGAAGGAAGGGAGAAAGGCAGAGAGGGAGGGAGGAAGGAAGGAAGAAGAGAAGAGAGATAATTACGAGAAGACGGGCAGCTCCCGCGCATTCGATCGCCTAACCAATTCTCAGAATAAGCGGGCAATACTCGATGTATGCGCATATTCAAGATAGTATGTTACATACGCGAGCTACTGACCGTACGTTTCGTTCGTTCCACCCTCGGGCCCTGCCCGCCTCTCGTACCGCGCGGCCTCTTCTCCTCGTCGTGCTCTGGTCAGTCCTTCCCAGCGTTCTACCCACCGGCAACCCTCTCGTTTCTGCCTGACGATGTGTACGCGAGTTCCCCAGAGGTATTTACATATATGGACCGCGGCGTGGCGCGCGCGTATCTTTTATCTGGCGTAGCAGTAATGGCGCGTCCACCTCCTTCGTAGCCGGTCAGGTAAACGCCGTAAAGATAGGCATACTGGGTGAGATTGGCGTAACCTCGCCGCCCGTTGACGTTTCGCCGGATGACGTTCCCCGATACTATAGATACACGCGTAGAAACGGAACGGTCGCGAGAGCCCGATGAAGATGAGGGATCTCGCGAAGGGTCGTTCTAAATCGGCCAAACGAAGGATTCGAGGAAATTCGTTAGAGAAAGAATGGAATGAGCGGACTGAAGATAATGACAAAACCGTACGAGGGTACGCGCGGTTTAACTCGAACGCGGGGCATGTTCGAATTGAAGCGGAAGATAAATCTCCGGTGATGGTAAATTTAGAGGCTCCCCGAGAGTCTCAGGAATCGAGAATCGAGAATCGAGAATCGAGAATCGAGAACCCTTCGTCTCGTCTCTCGCTCTACACCATTGTCTTCTCCGCGGTGCGCGCGAGTGTATCGTTTTCTCTCACCTCGCATCGGCGCTGCTAATGAGGCACGGTGTCGTCTTTACGGATCACCCCATAGGCACCCTTAAACATCCGGCCGGCGAATCCCGCGGGGGATTGTCCGCGCGTTCACCGAGAGCGAAACGGCCTGGCTCGGCCAGGCCGCGAGAGAAAAGAAAGAAAGAGGAGGAAAGATTTCTGCATGCCCCCCTGAGGAACAATGCGACGCTGTTGCACCGCATTCGTCGCATTGAAATGTATTAGTGAGGTGTCTCTCCCGTGCGCGCATTGTGTCGCAAGAACTCGCGCGCGCTAGCACGAGCGTGTGCGCGCGTGTACGGACGTAGTACGTACGCGTAGCATGGGTTTTCTTCGTTCCATGTGGCGTGGGCAATGGTGGTCGGTAGCGATGGTACGCGGTGTGGTATGGTTTGGTATGGTGGCACGCGGTAAGCACGGCCCCCGTATGCAGACAGTTTAGCGGTGACCGCCCCGCGAGTCCAGTTGTCGCGTGAAATATTGCGATTCATAAAATAAAACAGGCCTGCGGTCGAGGACGCGTAGATATAGCCGCAGGGCAGCTAACCCAGACCTAACCCGCCCCTCTGTCTCTCCTTTTCTCTCCATCCCTTTGCAGGCTCTTTTCGAAACACCGCGTCCATCCCCTCCCCCCTCCCCGAACCTCCGCTTCCACCCACCATCGCGAGCGTCCATTTTTTTTCTCTTTCTTTCTTTTTTCCCCTTTTTCTCCCTATTTTCTTTCCTGTCCTTTTGCCCGTCTCGTCCTCGCCCCTCGTGCCGTTTGCTCGCTCGGTCGGTCGGCCGTCGTCCGACTCGCGGCATCTCCGCTCGCGTCGCGTCGCGTCTATCCGTCTCTCGCGAGAGAGGCGCGTTAGAAGCGCGGGAACCGTAACCGTAACCGTCGGCAAACCGCAGGTATCGCGGGCGACGGGACGATCCAACGGGGTGAAAAATTTTTCGGCGTCGCGTCGCGCAACGCGAGCAACGATTCCGGCTGCGCCGCTCTCTCTTCTATCCGCGATAAGTTGGCGCGCGCGGTGCTGCACGGTGCGGTACGATGCGGTGCGGTGTGACGCGGTGCGGTAGGATAGAACGCGAATACTCCGTGAAAGCCGTTCCAACGGGCGTTCTCGTAATGCGGTAACGAGGGAAGAAGGCGAATCCGGAAACGAAATAAAACATACGGAGCTCGGTGGAGCAGCGCGGTTGTTTTATTTAATTAAAATTTTTTTCTCCCAGCCGTTCTCGAGACTGGCGCGTAGAGCGA